AGTTATGAAGAATTAAATATTAAAAAGGTGTTATTACTAATAGTCAGCATTCAAAAAAATTAATGAAAGACATTGATTAAATCTTGTAAAGCAGTACATTGCATTGTTTAATACAATACAACGGCAACGACGTCAGTTTCAAAATAATTCGAAATATTGTAAATAAAAACATAAATAGTTATATTACATAAACATCCACGTGCGTTTATAAAATCATTATTCCGTTAAACATTAAAATTTGAAAGATTTTGCATGAATGCTGAGCAAAGTATTAGTCTGAATGATTACAAAACAAATTGTATTGTTCATATTTTGGAAAAGGAATAAGATTTCCTATTCATATATATAACACGCTACTAATTACAAATGAACTCTACTAGGTATACCCTATTTGTAAACGAGCGTGCAAGACACATAACCTTAGCTATGCCCATATGGAAGAATTACGCAGAATACGACAGTTTTGTTTCGAATGGGCAAATAATAATCCAGCATTCACTAAGAATACTCACCCAATAACCCCTTTTGAATAATGTTTGTTAGGCATACGCCACGGACAGCCTCCGTATTCGCCAACTAAGGCATCGTAATTGTAGTTCATGCCGTAGGTGCTAGCACGATTATCACCTTTCCTACGCGATGGATTATAATAGTTATTGCCAGTGTGATGTTGCATGCGGTCCCCCGTACGAAAATTAAGAGAATCCAAAGCTATGAAGTCTTGCTGAAGCTTCATTCCCATCACATTCGAAGATGAATCGTTCTTCAGCGTTAAGATATCAAGACCTTTCTCAGCTTCCCAAATGTGTAACCACAAATCCTTAGCGGGGCCGAACTGCTCCGGTTGATACCAACCGATAGTCGGATCCATTAAATAGTTCTCGATTCCGTATCTCACGATTAATGGTCCTTGTGCACTACACTACAATTCCAATCTTAATTCAACTTTAATTGAAAAATTGTCTGATTTATTGTAACCTGCGAACACTATGAAATTCATATATACGATCAATGAATAACAGCATTTTAGAAGGAACTTCGTTCGCTGCTATACGATTATATAGTGTGGCAACGCCTCTCAGATTTCACTACCAGAGGGCTGCCATCCAGCAGGTAATTCTCGTAAGTTCTTGAACAATACCAAATTTTTAAAAATCTATAAAGAGCACATTTGTAGATCTGAAATCATTTTATAGTTTAAACAATATATAAAAATGTGAATAAAGGAATTTATTCGAATGAATTCACTAGTTCTCGTAAATAGAATTGTACTTAATTTGTGTACAAACGTACTGTGAAGTATTTTATATTAAAAACTGCTACATGCAGTTATTCATTTAAATTCTATAGTAGCTTATGTTTTACGCCTTGAATACTTTAAGCTGTAAAAAAAATGTCAAATAGAAATATTCTTAAGGAACAAGAATTTAATTACTTGAAATTTATTAATGAACGCTGGGGATTGATCTGCGGACAAATTTGCAGACATAAAGTATTCTAAGTTCACATTACAAAATTTACTACACTTGTGTTTAGAAATTACAAATACGTACAACGTAGATTTAACAATAAACAATCTTGCACTTTTTCAAATAATAGAGATAAATACGAGCTCCTTGCGATTTGGACAAATAAAGATTAGAGATTTAGATAATTTAAAAAAAATATGGAATAAGCGTTTACATCGATTTAAACAAGTTAACGAGTTCAAAAAATCTCTATACTTATAGTATACTTTAAGTGCAGATAAAATCTGTTTTTAAATCGAACAATTTGA